TAACTGAACCGAGTATATGTATTTATGAATGAATTAATAAACTATTCCACAAATATCCCGGGTTTCTCTGAAAATTATTCAGGAAATGAAAAGCGCTTATGTAATGTTAAAGGAATGAAAGGAAAATTTCTTAGTAGCAGAGAATGGAAAATAATGTTTCACTCTAAAATCCTCAAGAGCTAACTTTACCAAGAAACGTGTTCATTTTAATTGTACGGCATCAGCTATGAAGGCTTGTTTTGAGAACGTATCTTGGAACCCTGTAAGAGTATTATCATGAGACAGTGACCTTAATTTTTAGATGCAGCCAAAAAGCAGTTTAGAACCATGCGTGTACATTTGCATTTGTCCAAATATAGCTTTAATTTACTTTTCCTCCTTTAGTTCTTGATCTGCCCGTTGCTACGAGAGCCAGGTAGAAGAAACTGAAGAAGGTTGCTGTAACATCCCTTGTTTGCCAGTAATTCCAGGGAGCAATGTATGTGCCAAGAATGCCGGAGCTATATGAGATGCCTGAATGTGCACTGTATTCCAGCTGCAGGGAGTATGTGTGAAGCAGACCAGTTCTGTTTCACTAGAAGCACCTCTTACACTGGGATGATTCTTGGTTAGCACAGGTGGACTAGTGAGCCACATCCAAGGAACGTGCAGGGTGTTACAGAGATTTAAGGGAGGTATGTAACAGATTTTTCCAGATTACTGTATGTACGTAATTTTCTTATCCTCTTTGCAAGTTGTTTGCTTGAGTTGGTGAAAGCAGGCTCATCCAGTGGTAAAGTTTTTTGGTTTTTTAGGGTGGCTATGCATTTCTTACACACTGATTAGAATCCTTTTGTCTTTGAACTATTAAAAAGATCAGCATTTCTCTGTCCAAGTCAAAGAAATTTGACTGGAAACTGCTTAGTAATCTGTTATAATCCTATTAAACCTCAACAGCAAAGGAGATACAAAGGTCTAGATTACAGTTAGGAGTTAGAGTCTAATGGGTTCTTAGTTTCACCTCTTTTTGAGGATGACAGTCTGTAAGAACTTTTGCTGAACCCCTCTGGGATTTTAGTGAAGTAACCCTTATTTGTTCGTAACTCTTAACCCTGATACCAAGGGTTTTGCATTTGTTTGGTATAACACTATAATTCTACTTTCAGGCAAAGCCAGGATATCCTTTATATGGACCACATATTCCTCCTTTGTATTGGTCTAGGATTTCCAATTATTTCCATATTCATTGAGCTCTGTAACTACACAGCCAATCGAAACAGGCAGGCTGCTCAATGTCTTTTCCACCGCAGGAGTAATTTAATCAGGGAGCGCCTGCATTATTTTCTCAGAGAGCGGAGCTGTGCATGCCAGGTAATCTGCAACAGGATCTAGCATCTTGAATAAAAAGGTTTAGACATTTCGTGCCATTTTCTGCTTCTGCAGCTTGTAGTGCAGCTAACGGTATGGTCTTGATGTCTTTTCTAATATGCATGTTTCAAATATAATCACTTAGAGGAGATTTAGAAGGGAGGATGGATAAGTTATGGGACTGTATATACAGCATATGAGACTGAGTTTTAAAGCTGCGGGGTCCTGCACTCCAGCTGAGATAACCTAATCACTGTGGTATTTGCTTTACTGAGGTGCTGGTACTCATAGAGGAGTCTGTTTCTTTAACTTTGACTCCTTTGACTAGGAGTTCCATCCTAGAGTTAAAAAAAAAAAAAAAAAAATCTTTCTGACAGAAGTTTGATAGTGGTACGTTCCCAGAGAAATTTGTCAGCTTTTATAAAACAGCAAGGAAGATAATTGAAGGTCAGGGGGAAATCTTCCTGGTGTCCTCACAGCCATTTTAATCTTCATTTTGATTGACTAATATGCTCTGTTTCAGGCAACCAGGGAGAGGACAGGTGGGTCTTTGCTTTCATGGGGAACCTGAGGTCCAGGAGAATTTCCATCTGTTGGGAAGAGCTAACTGGGTCCTCTTGCAGGCTTGGCAAGATAGAAGTCCCTTGCTCTCAAGGGGTGTCCAAGGGAAGTGCAAGCTCTTTTTCAGGGTGACTATAGGAAGAGAGAAGGTCGGGGTGGGACAGGTCACAAAGTCCTGGTATGTTAAGTCACTGTGCTGTGCTCCTTTCTTTCTGCTGGGCACTATTATTTAGGTAAACATAAGCTTGAGGTGACAACTGTATTTTTCTGTTGAATCTTTGGTCCAGATTCTCCGCTGGTGGGAACTGATTTTATGCTGGTGGAATTGTCCTCTGTCAGCTGAGCATCAAGCCAGCGAGGAGGGCCCCTGCAAAACTTTCCTCCTCAGTAAGACTTTCCTACTTCTTGTAACAGTTTTGTTTTCACCTTTATTTTTCTTTCCAAAAAAATGTCATGAATTCTGAGAAACTAGAGGCAGGCTGTGGCCACAGTTCCTCTCATGTACCATGTATGTACCATCATTAAGGTTTTTGTGATATAATAATCTGACTAATAAAGAAATCTAACTGCCATTTGAATCTGACTTTCAGTGGCATATTAAAAGCTTTCATGCCAGTTTAGGCCTCTCTACTTTCTTGTTCTCTCACTACAGCTGTCATGGGCAAAGCCAGTCTTGGTGCCTTTTTTTCTCATTCATATCTGAAGTAGGCTTTCTGTGATTTGTCATCATATCTGTGATAAAGTACTTGGTGGGGAGGGGAAAAATCCCTCTGCAGGGTTCTAATATTTGACACTGATTTTGGAGAAGTAATATTCCTCACATAAATAATAATGCTAATTCTTACACAGCTAGGGTTGAATTTGTATTGTCAGATTTCAGTTGGCTTTAAGTTCAGTGTCTAGTTTAAGTTACTTGACTGGGTTTCCATGATAGTGAAGAGAAGAACCTGCAGAGAATGATTTCATCCTGTATACATATCCCACTTCTGATTTCTTTCATCATCCTGTCTGAAAGCATAACAACAGTGGATGCTATCATTATTGTCTCTGCTACAGTTGGAAATATCAAGGCACTGAGAGGGAGAATGACTTGCACAAGGTCGTCATTAGATACTGCCTCAGGCTTGTAACGGGAAGGAGAATTTGTTTGCGTACACTGGTATTCAGTCCTGTAACATAATCACATATTTACCTCTCATCTACCAATTGATCGAAGCTGTCTTCCAGACCAGTTTACAGACCTTTTTGCCCTGGAAAGAGGTGGGAACCTGCACATGGTAACCCAGAAAGATCAGTAGTGTTTTGGAAAGGCTCTGAGACGCTGCACTTCAGTCACTCCAACGCAGTGAGCGAGCTTTTTCTGTTTCTTATGATGTCCTTTTGTATTTACTCACAGACGTAAGGCTTGTTTCAAGAGGGGTTTATTTCCAAGTGAGAGAGACTGTAGTGTAACCTTTGCTCCTAAGCTTAGGGTATGTACTTTCTACTTAATTTTAGGTCTCTGCCTGAACCAATTAGCATAGTCAGTAGTAGCTCAAGGCAAGCATTTCAGATCTCTTCAGACTGAATCAACAAAACATTGAATGTTTTTGATCTGAAGTGAGAAAAGCAATTTATCTGTTCCCCCCCCCCTTCTGTTGCATGGGACAGTTTCCTTTAAGTTATACCTTTTTGCTGGCTAAATATTTAACTATTTTCCTCAGCACACTCTGTCCTTTTTCTTAATTTTGATTTTGTTATTTGATCCAGATTAAAATGAACCTTTCACTTTGGCCATTCAGTGTGTTTCAAGACAGACGGGAGGAATTTCAAAGTTGCACTATTGGTTTTCAGATCAGAAAGAAGCTAGGACGTGGTAACTTTTCAGTAGAGAATGTTTGTCAGAATTCATAGAGGAGTAAAAGGCCTATGACTCCATGATGTGCTGCTGAAGGGACCCTTCATAAATACGTATTAAAAAAAAAAAGTCTGGAATGACAAGACTTGGGGTAGTACTATGTTGCCATATCCCTTTCCCACGCTCCTATTCAGCTGTTCTGTGATTTTCCTTTGAGAAGATAATCTTTTATTCCTACACCCCCGGCACATTTGGTGTTGTTGCTGATGTAAATAGTCACCTGCAGCCGTCTGAGCTAGAGCTTAGTGAAATGAGATGAATGGGCCAAATCTCCCTTCACAACACTGTTTTTTTCCCTGCAGGTTCGCTTGGGTTCAGTTTGCATAGTCAGGATTTCCTCACCACTGTAAGGAGAGATTGGTGTTTTATGGCTCTATGGACAGATCCTAGAGAACAAGTTAGTATCTTTGGAGAGCTCCCGATGAACCAAGCTGTCATCAGTCAGCTGATTTCAGTCACCCGTAAGGTCATAGTCTTGAATTCCACTTTTTATCTGTAACACTCCAGACCAGTGTAATTTATGAATTAGAATTTTCCTCTTTTTCCGTCATGCAAAACTTCTTTCTTTGACCCTTTCAGTAGACACATTGACTCTTTAGCATCCTAGCTGCTAAGTTGGCTCTTTCAGCTTGTTGAGGGTTTATCTGTGGCGGCAGGGTTTAGATTGCAGTGTGGTTAAAGATCTTGATCCCTTCAGCTCTGTGAAATATTTAGAATCACAGTCTCAGAGAATCAAGACTAATTCCACATACACAGAGGCTTGTACATCCTGAATTCTCCCATTTTTGCACTGGATATAAAGGTGTGGGAAAATAAAGGGCTCCTTCTTCTCTCATGATCAGTTTTTCCTTGCATTTGGCTTCTCCTAGAGGAGTGGTTTTCAGCCTGTGGTCTGTGGGCTTCTGGAGCACATGGACTGCTATAGAGGCAGTCTGTGGAAGGTGACTGAAACATAAATTCATATATAACCTACAGCAGTGGACTTATATGATGTTCCTAATGGGGTCTTTGTCACCACTGAACGCTCAGTATGGTTCCAAAATAAAAATAACTTGAAAAAACACTGTTCTCATGCCGAGATATTCCTGTAAACACCATTGTCACTGCTGCACTTTCTGTTCTCCTTGTCATTTCTTGAATATTACTATTAATGCTCAAAAATGTCAACTTGTACTGAAATCCATTCTTTTTGCAGGTCCCAGTGAATAGGGTTTGACCCCTTGCTGAGGCAGGACGGAGAGATGTCAGAGGTAGGGAGTTCTGCCTTTCCGGTGCTCTAGTCTGTGTTCTCATAAGTATCTCCAGGAAGCAGGCGCTCACCCTGAACATCTGTGTCAGTCCAGATTTTCACGGAGTTGACAGCCTCCGTGGCATTCCTCTTCTTGTGCTGGCCTAAAATATGAGGTACTCACCCCAATAATTTCATCTTTCCTGCAGCACGTCAGCATGTGCAGTCTTGATACGTTGTACTTCATGTCTCTCTCTACAGCCCATTTGACATCCCCTATTTTTTTCCTCTGTCTTGATGTTAGATTAACAGTTTGTGTAACTGTACTGTGATGTTAATTGCATTAACGATGAGTAATCCAAGACATGCAGACTGATGTTTGATCTTAGATGGTGTGGTAAATGGGGAAGAGATCTGCTTTTTCTTCATTAATATTATATTCAGATGCAACATATATTGTCATACGTTACCATGTTAATTTGCACAAGAATAGGCTGAAAAGCTCCTTAAAGATGGAAAATAATCATTGGTTCCCATGAAGCACCCCATTAGGGGTGCTTGGCAAAGCCACGCAGGGACCTGGACTCCCACACTGTGGAGAGAAACAGAATGAGCCTGACATAACTTACAAGAAACACCAGGATATGGTAGAGAGGTCTGGGTTTAAGTTTTTTAGGGTTAGTTCTTATCCCAGTAGAAACCCCAGGAGCTCAGTTAGGGATCTGGAGTGTTGGGTTGGGGTTGGCTTTTGGCCATAGAGCAAGTGCAAACCCAAGTCAGAGGGCTCTTCAAAAAAATTAAAAATGATTCTTCCAGATACCTTATGGGCTATCTAGGCCGTATTTTGGTCTTACCTTTCAGGCTCTGTAGCTGCTCAGATCTAGCTGACTATTGCAATGGAGAAAGTATAAGGGGTGAAATGCTGTTGAGAAATGGACAGTGATATCTTTGATTCAACTGCATCACCTGACAGATAGGGAAAAGTTTCCAAGCACAGAAATATGTATCTGGGGTGGGAGGCAGAATGGCCAGACGTGTGTGTGGGGAAAGGAGGCAGGATAGTAACACATATGTAAGGTCAGAAAGAAAGGCTAAGCTTTGTAAGCAAAGATACGTAGGGACATATCTTTTTTGATGCTTGGTTTTATTTTTTTGTTTTACCTACCTTTTTTTTTTTTTTTTACTCCCCTTCCTTGCCAATCTGCTGTGGATATCACTCCATTCTTCAGAATCTCCTCCCTGCTCTTCCTGCTCCTCCTCCCTGCTCCTCCTCCCTCATGGTCTAGGCTTTCTGTGTGCTTTCTAAGGCTCTCTTGATGTTCTCTGCAGATATGTAGGTCTTGAATGCTCTTTTTTCTTCTTTTTAATTCAAACATATTTCAGTATCTAAGCAGTCACTACAGCTACTTCCATTCAGCAAAACCTCTTCAAGCTATGTATGTCAAAGAGTTTTGTGGCTCTTTGTAGCTGGAAACCTACTCCCAGCCAACTTCTTCACGTTGCAGGGTTATTTTAGCAAGTTTGGGACATCATGATTGGAAGTGGTTCTCATAGAAGCCCTCATCTTTTGTCTTTACTTGTTTTCTCCTCCTTCCTTTTTTATGTGCTTTTACAGCCCTTCAACAAAGACAAGACAGTTGTTTGTCCCCGTATCAGGTATACCAATGCTAGTTGCCATATTCAGGGAGTGCTTGGGGACAGACAACACAAGCTACAAGGTAATCCAGTCCTTTCCAGTTCCTAGAATGAAGGTGTGGGGTTTGAGGACGTGGTCTGTGTGTTCACAAGTCAGTGGCTTGTATGTGCGTTTACGGGTATTTGAAGAGCCTATAAATAGCTGTTTGTATTAGAATATCTAGGCTGTGCTGCTTATTTATTTTGAATATAAATGTCATCTTGACAGGCAATACTTCTCTTGCATACACAAAACTTGTAATTTGATCTCTGAGTTTAAGTGGCATATGCTTAGTAATGAAGTTTTGTTTCTGTTCTTTGGTGAACTGTGCCTGTAATGTAAAGGCAAAGCATTTGGAACTGCTTTCAAATTTGCTGTTAAAGTGTATGCATTGAGCTAATTGTAGGGATGTGACATTTTAAAATTGGAGGGTGAATTAAGTGGGAAAAAGAACAGATTATGATAATTTTCAATGAAGCTAGCATATGGACTGTCCTAAATAATGGCTCCTGGCTTTGGCATCTTGTCAGATGGTCTGCTGACAATGTTCATTAATAGCAATTACTACCAGTTACTGATATTATGGACTGATACAATGCTTCACAATGAATCAGTGCCAAAAAGACAGATTGAGATTCAGCAGTTACACTGTTTTGAATCTTAGAAAGAACCTTAATAACTTCCTTTTTCTTTAAAATGAAACCAAAACCTCCACAATGAATCATTATGACATTCAGTAATACTATAATTTTTCTGTGTAGCTCATAGACAGATGCTGTCTGTGATCCTTCCCCCACCCCAGTGGATTTGGGAAATAAGACAAATCCTAAATGGCCTAGTGCCTGGGTAAATAACTAAAGTTTACCTGATCAGATTGATGGTATTCCATAATAAATTTGGGAAAAGTTATTAGGGAAGTGCATGTTTGCAGGAAATGAATGTATCTAGCTGTAATGCTCTGAAAATGATATTTATGTTATACCTGCTGAGCCTTTGAAACGTAAGTATGAAGATAAGTGTGAAAGAGTTGCTCTCAGTCATTACAACTGGCTTCTTGTGTTTTCGGTAAGCAACTGTAATCTGTAAATTCTTTCTGATCTGATTTGTCAGGGCTTACTGAAGTTCACTACCATCTTCTTCATCCACATTACTTCCTCACTAAATAAGTGTTAATAAGCTGCAGTATTTTAGTTCATGTTATTTAATTAATGTTGCTCATGTTTCTTTGACTAGGGAACATAAGTGATTTGTCCAGCATGTTTTAACTATTGCACAGGTAAGTGTGCCTTGATAGTTTTGTGCTACAGTAGAACTAGTGTTATCTGTTACAGATGTTTCTGCTATCATACAGTATCTTCATTACCTTAGAATTCCATGGAGCAATTCCCTTTTCCAAAGGATGTTTTCCAGTGTCCATCAAAGCGATATCCTTTTTGGGGGATGTCTTTTGTTGTTGCATCTTTTCAGGGCTCTCTTAAATTAAATGTAACTTCTATCTCTGCTTTCACAATGTATCTTCTCCTTTTAGCAAATCCTTTGTGTAAAATAGCCTGACTGTTCAGTATTTTAGTTGTGTGAGAAGCATTTTATCATGATTTAGTTACATTGTTCCTACGTGGGTGAAAAAGGGCCTGCCCTGTCACAGGGTGGTCTGTCCTTTAAAAAGGTTCTGGTCCAGTTTTCCCAGTTATGGATATATTGTTTTCTGGCTGAGATTGAAGCAGATGTTTATAAGTGCTGAAAATGGGGAAGCTGAGATCTTTAAAATGATGCACTTCTGGCGTAGAAAGTCCTTAAACTAAACAAGCTGTTCTATCTCCTGAGGGTGTAGTGGAAGCATTTTCTGGTGATTTTTTGAATGTTGACAGCCTTGCAGACGTAAATGGATGAAGACTGAGAGCTGACCTCTGTAATGAATATAGTCTGCATGCAGTGGCATTGTTCCAAAGTGTGGATTTGGGCTAAGATAGCACTGTGTTTTATCAGTACTTGTGAGTATGAGTGGTAGAGCTTTGTTGATGTCTTTGCAGGCCATAAAGTGTGCCTCTAAGAATCACTGGAGTGCATGAATCTCTAGTGGAGTGTGTTCTCGAGGAATGGCCCTTAGCTTGAATTACTCTGAAAAAGGAGGCTGCCTAAAAGCAAGTTTTTCTATCCATTACAGAGAGATCTTGCTTTTTGCCTCCTTTTGCCTAGGTATAAAGGACCTTCATGTGCAATTCAGCAGCTCAGGAAGCTGCTTCTGAGCTGCCCTTTTTCTCAGAGTTAGACTTAGGAGTCCTATTTTCCCATGCTGAAGGATATAGAAGGACTCATCCTATAATTGCAGCCTGGATTCTTATCTGTAGCTGTATTCTTCAGACCAGAGCTTCCCACTTAAAGAGGAGACTGACTGTATTTAGAGGGAGTGAATTTCTAGGGGCAACTCCCCTGGAAATTAATGAGAGTGGGTAGAGCCTACACCCAGGAAAAGGTGCACACCTCAAATATTGATGCTGAGGGTGTGCACTTCTTGCTAACAGGAAGTGTAAAATGATGCAGTGAGATCCTGACCAAGGTATTTGCCTTGCATCTGCTCCTCAAATTCTTTCCTTCTGGCCCTGTGCAACAGGTCCATGTGAAATTCCAGGACCTGCTAAGAGCTGAGGAATTTTGCTATGCAGCTACAGTATGTGCACAGTATTTAGTTTTAGGCTCCTAATGCTGAAGGCTAAACATTTGACGAGGTTCAAGAGGAGTCCTAAGCTGCACTTTCCATTTTCCTAAGCTCAATGCACTTTCATTTTGTTACTCTTTTCCCTTTAGGCTGGAGTTACAGCTGAATCCCTTAATGAAGAACTAAGTCTCAGGCCTGATTGCCAGTGCCAGTGTGTAGTTACAGTAGACCATTCAGGCCTTCTCTGCTAGGACCTTGGAAAGGGCCTGTGTGTCTGTTACAGAGAATGAAGAAATTATGGACTGATTTCTGATATTTGATGCCTTTGATGGTGCGGTAGGTGCACTGAGGGCCCAGCTGGACCTGACTTCCACAGTGCCAAGTGCTGAACAATAAGAAACATCATTGTTTTGGAAACGTTTACTGTGTAGAGATACAAAACGGGTAGAAATTGGGAGAAGTGCCCAAAGAGTGCTAGGAATCTACGTAGCTTTCACCTGGAGCAGACCACGCTGCCTGGGAACCGGCCATTGTGAGAGAAGGCAGTAAGACCCCACGTGGAGCAATCAGCTCTGACATCATTCATAATGATGGCAATATTTGCTAATTGAACTTCAGACAAGATGGTTTTATTTAACTGTCTGTTCACAATAGAGTCTCACCATCTTTTTCTTTCATCCACAAATTGCTT